TAAACACATCCTTTCTGCCATGATCCCTCGCCCACACAGGCCAGCTGAGGTGGGCATCGGAGGGGACCTCACTGCCAGGAGGCGGGGGCCATGGGGTCCTCCTGGAGGCAGCTGCTCTGAGTGACGAGGTGGCAGGAAGGGCCGAGGCCAAGGGCCAGGTGCACTGGGGACACTACGGACAGCCGTCCCCCGTGAGCAGGGCCCGTCTCCTTCCTCCCGCCCTGTCCAGGATGGTGCCTGTGTCAGCTTCCCTGGGAAGCCTGCCGGCCAGCCGGGCCTGGGCCACGTGCGGCATGGAGCTCCCATTAGGGCTTGTGGCCTGTGGGGAGCAGCCCCCCTCAGTTCTGCCTCCAGAACCACCCACCCTCTCTTGCCCTTCACGAGGGCACGGCTGGGGTCCCGGCTGGGCATGGGGGTTGTGGAACGTGTGGGGACAGTGTCCTCGGCAGCTGCACCTGGAAGGTCAGGTCCCAGGGCAGTCAAGGACAGCCTGCAGCTGTGAGCGCCATGCCGGCCGCTCAGCAGGAGGCCATTATGCGCTGATGCCCCAAAACGCATTCTGTGCTGGGGGCAGGGACAGGGCCTTGTTCCTCGTCCTGTGGCCTTCTCTGTCACAGCCGCAGGGCTGCATCCACCCGCTGCCCTCTGAGGTTTCTCCTGGTGCCCACTGCGGCTGCCAGCCGGCGAGAGGAGGCAGTGCTGGCTCAGGGCAGCCAGTTTTGCTGATTCATTTTCTAGGAGCCAGCGTGGCCACCCCACCCCTCCAAGGACAGCCCGGGCAGGAGGGGCGCTCCATCCAGTCTGTGCAGGGGCCACAGAAACTGCTCCCCACAGCCCCACAGTGAGGCCTGTGAGGTGGTGGAAAGTGGGTCACTGTTAAGTGTGCTCACGGTCCTGGAGAGCTGGCCACGTGTTTCCAGAGGCGCAGTGGTCAGCAGAGGGGGTGAACAGTCCGTCTGCCATCCCAGAGGTCAGTGGCCAGACCTGGTCTCCCTGAGGAGTGGCAGGGAGCTCTCGGGAGGTCTAGGCGCAGCAGAAGCCCGAGGGGTGGGAGCAGGGCCGGCCGTGGACACAGAGCCGGGGCCCTGGGGCACTGTCCCCCCATGACCTCCCAGGCCGCCATGGGTGCTGCTGTCTGGTCACCCGTGCCCAAGGGCCAGCTGACATGCAGCCCTGGTCCCCAGTTTGCTGCACAGCAGGTGGCCGGTGGCCCCTGAGGTGGCGACCCTCCCACGGGCAGAGGGAAGGGCTTGTACTTGGCAGGAGGAGACTCGAGGGAAGGAGGGAGCCCCCACCGGCCAGAAGAGCTTTGGGAGCAGAAACTTTAGGGTTTGCAGAGCTGACCCCCGTGGGGGTGTGTAGAGCTGCGGTGGGGAGAGACTGGGGCAGGGCCTGCCAGTGCGCGATAGGACCTCCGTCCGTCCGTCCGGGGACCTGTGTGGGAAGGCCAGGCCCGGAGGAGATAAGGGGCAGGAGGGGTGGCGAGCCGCGGGGTAACTGAGCCGGAAACGGGGAGGCTTCAGGCATCCCGGCTCCCTGGAAGCCCCAAACCCTCGAGGGGCTCTTTTTCTTCATCTGGCTCCATGGCTCAGGGCTGGGCGCTCATGGGAACAGCGCGGTTTGGAGATCCAGTCATTCGAAGGAGAAATGGCGAACAGTCTCATTCCCCTTTGATGTGTGCACATACCCTGCGTGGGGGCAGGGCCAGTGGGCAGCGAGGTGGGTGTGGGCAGCGTGTGCCCCTCTCCTACTCTGGGTCCCCATCTGTGGAGGGCCTTCCAGGCCTAGACAGACACGTGGTTCCAGGTCCCTCTGCTGTGTTGTCACCTTATTTCTTCACGCTCCTCTGCAGTGGACGGGACACAGGTCAGCCGCTCCCAAGGAGACGGAGAGGCTAACTGCCTGAGTGGAGAGGGCCCGGGTGGGTGGGGACCAGGCCGGCCCCCCCGGAGGGACAAAGCTCTCATCTCCAGGCCTCACAAACCTCCTCGCCAACCTGTTAAAGGGTGGTCGGGATGCGCTAGGAGGGCCCTGGGGTGACAGGGACAGCCGGGCCACCCGCCAGGCAGGGCAGTCGGCAGGAAGGACGATGAGTGTCCTTTCAGGGCCATGAGTGCGCCCCGCGCCCCAGCCCTCCTGGGGGAGGCTTCCCTCTGCCTCTTGAGCGCCTTTCCTGGTGGCCCAGGGGCTCCCGCCTGCAGTGGAGGTGGGGCGGGCAGCCCCCTCCGCGGTGGACGCGGGCACCCTGCAGTGTGACACGGTGTATTTTCCTTCTCTGTGTGTGCGCCTGTGTTTGCTGTGAACACAGTAATTAGAGACAAAACCACAATTGGATAATGAGCCTGAGCACTGGGGGGAGGGTGAGAGGGTGGTTGTGGGTTTGCCCAGCACAGGCTGCCTCCGCCATCCCAAGGCCCCCGCCACCCGGGGCGGCAGGGAAGGAGGGACAGCTGCATGCTGGGCTTCGAGGGGTGTGTAGGGGTCTGTTTCTGGGGGGGGGCAGCCAGTGGAGGAAGGTGAAGGAAGCCACCAGAGTTCCAGGACGCGCCGGCCACGTGTCCCATAGGCCGGAGAGCGAGCTGCTCCATGCGTGCTGATGGCGTGGGACTGTCCAGGGCACCTCGTCCGCTGGGCCCTTTGTCCTGTAACCTTTCCGAGCACAATGCACTGTGACGTAGAGGCCACGTGGGCTGGTCTGTAAAAGGGGGTGGGGACAGTTCCCCATTCACACAGCACCAGGTGCAGGTGGGTGCTCACCAGGCCACTGTTATCATCATCGGTGGTGACCTCATCGTCCCCCAACTTCCTGTTTCTGGAGGGTCAGCCGGCAGTGCTGGAAGCAGGACCAGACTCCTCCGCACACCTGTGACTCCTGCCTTCTGAGGAGAGGTGTGCAGGGGGGGTGTGCGCACAGGTGTGTGCTGAGTGTGTGCCGAGTCTGCCCTTGCCCGGGCGGCGCTGCTCTGCCACCAGCCTGTCCCCACTGCAGTCAGCCTCGAGCGTTGTCCCTGGCCTGTGCATTTTGGTTGTTACCATTTTCACGCCTGCTCAGTAACAGTACTGTTGGGCGACATTACCTCATTCCCCGTTTTTCGCTAAATGACCAGCTGTGCAGAGTTTGGCCTCCCCCCTCACTACACCCTGGTCAGCGACAGCTCTCGGCCCTGTGGGGTCTCCCAGGCTCACTTCCGGAGATTTTCTGGGGTGTCCTTCCTGTACCTGCCTCACCTGGCGTCTGTCCCGGGTGCTCGGGGACTTGGAGGAGCTTGTCTTCTCAGAGTAGCAGCCTTTGCCACCTGTCCCCCCCATTCCCTGCTTCCTCTCAGGCTGTCTGCCTTGTTTTGGGGATGTATCGATGGACAGGAAGTTCCGCTCCTGACTCCGGCTTGCTCCCAGCCGGTTCCGCATCTGGGCCGAGGATAGGCTGCTCGGTCCTGGGGTGGAGTCCCCGCTGGCTCTGATGGACAGACGCTGATGCTACCCTGCTGCCCTCCCCGCCTCTCCACGCCTCTGCTCTTCACCTGCCTGGAAACACAGGGCTCCTGAGCTGATCAAAGGCAGCCGGTGGGGGGCCCCAGGCGCCTGCAGCCTCCCCGGCAGGGCTCCCAGCACAGCCCCCCACTCGCCCTCTGTGCCCGGCCTGCGGCTGCTGTGCCTCTGAGGCCACACAGCCTCATGTCTTGGCTGCGATGTGGCAGAGGTGTGCAGCAGCTGGGGGACCTCCCTGAAGTGTGCTTGGAGGGAGACATGGCTGCACTTGGTAAATCCACACAGGAGGCGAGAGAAGGTTGCATGAGATGTGTGACTGACTAGGGGAATATTTTTTCGGTGCAGATGACAAAAGGCAAATTGGTAAGAAGCCCCACTGGCCAAGGTCAAAAGGGGCAGAGACTAATCCAAGCTGTTGGGAAACATGAGGTGTCAAGGTAACGATGACAAGGGGCAGGGGGCGCTGTCTGGGCGATCTTCTGACATTGGAAATGACTCTTTGTAAAGTGTGACTGAAACAGTGTGGGTGACCGTGACGTGGTCTGTGTCCCTTAAAATAACAGAAGTCACCACCAGGCTGCAGTGCTGTGGTTAACAGATTGTCCCTCACGTGGCAGCGCCCAGGCCCCCCAAATGCAGCCCCAACCACTGTGTAACCTCCACGTGCCCATCTGGGAACTCCAGCCACCTTGGAGAACTCCGGCGTTGGGGTCCAGGCTCAGGGAGAGCCCACGGTGTCCTGGGCTGGAGGCCATAGAGCAGAACAGCCAGAGGGCAGCTGGCAGCGGCCTGGGCTGCAGTGGGAGAGGGCCTGGCAGTGGCACATCCCAGCCTGGGAGGGGAGGGGAGGGGAGGTAGGCGCCCAGCTGTGACAAGGGGGTGGTGACCAGGACTGTGGGTCCTTGAAGTGTGGCTGTAAGAGCAGAGGTGCATTAACAGGGCATTCCCTCGGCTCGGGGGCAGATGGTGCAGGACAGGCTGGGTGGAGGGTACTGCCCAGGAGTGGTCTGGGGAGAGCAGTGAGCTGCACACAGGTGCCTGGGCACCTGTGTCCAGGGGTCCACAGGCTGAAAGGAGAGTGACGGGTGGGGTCGCAGGATGGCAGAAGCTGAGTGCTGGGGATCGGGCCTCGTGGGGCCGGTCAGGCAGGGGCCAGCCGGGCAGCTGAAGGCCTGGAGGAGGGACTCTGGGTATCATGGGCGTGCATGAGACCCTGGGCTCCGGGAGGCCGGAGGGCCCGTGCATGGAGGAGGGATATGGCGTGGGGCAGTGACGCTCTGACAAGGAGCTGTTCTGGGCAGTGACCAGTGCGCGTGGGAAGGCAGACAGTGGCCATGAAGCCAGGCTCAAGGCATGCTAGGAGCGGGGAGCCGGGGGCAGGGTCCAGACCCTGACGGAGGGGCCTGGCTCAGGAGCTGGTGGGGTCCCTGCTGGTCGGGCCCACAGCTGCCAGTCCTCGAGGGCCTGGGTGTGGCCCTCAATGGGGTCTAATAGACTTCTCTCCCCCACAGGCCTTGTGAAGCTGGGAATTCACTGTGTCACCTGCCAGAAGGTGGCCATCAAAATCGTCAACCGGGAGAAGCTCAGCGAGTCTGTGTTGATGAAGGTGAGCTGGAGCAGGGCCTGGTGGTGGTGGTGGTGGTGGGGGGCCGCGTGAGGCCCGCCAGGTGGGCCTCCTTGAGGCTGAGCCGAGATGGCTCTAGCGCGGTCGCCACCCCCTGGAGTGGGTCCCCACCCTGCCCATTCTCCCTCCTTGCCTCAGCCAGAGGCCTGGGGGTGGCCCGCAGCCCGGCATCGTCCATGTGCTGCTGGGAGAGTGGGCTGGCCCTCAGTTTCCCCGATTAGAATCAGAACAAGAGCTCTGCCTCAGAGGAGAGAATGGAAGTGACAGGCTCCCAGAGGCCACCAGCCCCTCCCCCCACTCCCCTGCATCCCAGTACTGGGAGCCTCCCTCCTCACAGGACTGGGACAGAGCCCCACACACAGGCAATGCTCAGTGCGGAGGCGACACCAGCCCCCCTCCCGAGTGCCTGCTCACACTTGGGTGTGGGGCAGAAAAGTGGGGGCTCCCCATCCCCGCAGCTGTGCCTCTGAGCCCCCGCCTGTGGGAGCCTCCTCTTTGATGTTTTTCCTGGGTGAATTCACTCGTCCTTCCCTTGTACTGCGGGGAGGGGGTGCGGGGGCAGGCCTGCCCTGCTGGGCACATAGGGGCACAAAACCAGAGGGAAGGGATGGGTGCTCTGTTTAGGTGCCAGTGACATCAGAGGACCCCTCTGGCTGCTGGGGGCGGGCCTACCTGGGGAACCCCGAGGTGGGGAGGTTTTAAGGGGAGGTGCTGGTCTCGTGGATGGAGCGGGGACCGTACAGGTCGGGGGCAGGCGGGTTCTGACCCTGCCTTGCACAGAGCCCAGCTGGGGCCTGGGCTCGGGCTGCGACACTGGGTTTGAGATCCTTGATATGTCTGAGTGGACAGACAGGAGCTTGGAGAAGAGGGCTGGGGGTGTAACTGGGGCCCACTCCTCTGAAGGCCTGGCAGGGACCAGGTGCAGCCAGGGGAGGGGCCTGTAGGTGGCCCTAGCACCTGTGTGGGACAGGCTGGCCCCCAGGTGGAGACCCTGTGGCTAGACTGGCCCTTGTCCAAAGCCTGTGTTGCCTCCACAAGCCCACTCAGGCTCAGCCCACGAGACCTGTGTGTCCCCAGCAGCCAGAGGCTCCTGGCAGGCAGGGTGAGGGTGAGGGTGGGGTCTGTGCCCCACAGTCCAGCCCCACACGCAGCATCAGGCACGAGCTGGTGGTGGATGGATGCAGGGGCCCGAGGGGCTGAGCCCCCACGTCATGCGCACGCCCCGCCGTCCCCCCAGGTGGAGCGGGAGATCGCTATCCTGAAGCTCATCGAGCACCCGCACGTCCTCAAGCTGCACGATGTTTATGAAAACAAAAAATATTTGTAGGTATTGCTGGGGCTGGAGAGTCGGGGTGGCCCGAGGGAGGCCGTGGGGCCTGGGCAGGGGGGTTGGGCAGGGGCCGTTCCAGGACGGGCCCCAGGCTGGGGCACACTGCTCCTTGATCAGACACGTGGAGACTCGAGAGCCGCCCTGGGGAGGTCAGGCTTCCTGGAGGGGTGGGCTGCAGGCGCGGGAGCCAGCGGGGACCCCAGTGCTGCACAAATGGACCAGTTCCAGTGTTTAGCTGAGGATGGGGTGTCAGAAGCTGCCCCACGTAGGGGAGCCCTGAGGGGCTGGGAGTCAGGTGATGGTGCTGGGGTCCCTGATGCTGGTGAGCTGGAGGAACTCGGCCACCATCAGAATCATAACCAGGGGACATACACCCACTGGCCTGACAGCAGCTCAGCACCTTGCCGTTTCTTGGTGACAGCCCATGAGTTTGGGGAGCGGGCAGGTGCTAGAGCAGGTGTGGCCCACCTCCACGCAGGACACCAGTCACCTCCTTGCTTCTGTCAAGGACAGACTGACAGGGGTGACAGGCCGAGTGCTTGGCTGTGCGGAGGGCACAGGAGGGGGACAGGAAGGAGGGGAGGGCCTCGGACATCAGCCTGGCAGGGGTACAGCCTGGGCAGAGGCCTGGTAACGGGGACAGGATGCCCAGGATGGAGGACAGGTGGCCGGTCCAGGTCCTGCTGGGCCCATGTGACCTAGAGGTTCAAAGTCAGCCCAGGAAGACTGGAGACGGAGGAGCAAGCAGGATCCCCCAGGTCAGGGTTCCAGTAGGGCACCCACCCTTTGGCCCTCCTGCTCAGAAGCAGGGCAGGCCCCCCAGGACCTGCCCCTCCTACCCGGAAGCCACCCAGTGTCACCTTCTCTCTGCAGACAGGCTCCTTATGCCCCGGTAGCCGCCCCCACCCCATGACCCCTCGAGTCCTACAAGACTAGCCCTGGAGGTAGCTGGTTCCTCCTTCCACCCCGTGGCCCCCAGCCTTGTCCTTGCCTGTCCTGGTCCTGTGTGTGCCCCCTCCCGCTCCCCAAGCCACAGCAGCCCACCCAGGACCACCACCCTCCAGGGGAGCATGCGCAGTGAGCCGCCCACACTCCCCAGACCCCCGGGCACCAGTGTCCACTTGTTGCCGGGACCACCCTGTGCCCCCCCTCCGGTTCCCTGGAGGGGACTCCGCTCGGACACAGCTGACTTCTCACGCGTCACCATCACACAGACGCCTTCCTGCCCCCACCTCCCTCACCCCTCGGCCTTGCACAGCTGCCCAGAGGGTCTTTGGTCCCTGGACCCCTGCTTGGTGACACGATGCAGCACAGGGGGTACAAAGGCGCCAGGGAGGACACTGCTGCCCAGTACGCAGGCCCACCACCCTTCCTCCCTGGCCAGCCCCCGGGGCCCTGGCCGGGTTCTGCACCAGCTTTAAGGACCGCTGTGCTGGCCAGGGCTCGTTGAGGGCCCGAGTGTCTGATTCGTCTCCTGCTCTGGGAGCCCAGCCTGGGCTGACCAGGGGAACCTGGAAGGGCCAAGCTCCGGCCCCATGAGGGTTAGCAGCCAGAGCCCCTCTTGCTGTGGGGCCCAGCCGTCCCTCAGCCAGGAGGAGGCCGCGTGTGGCCCTGCTCCCCTAGGGCTCCCCCACCGGAAGCTGGCCTGGAGGCCGTACTGCCAGGAGGCGGGCGGGCGGGGCCCTCACGCCTCTGGCCAGCGCTGCCCTGGCTGGGTGGCCCCAAGGTGGCTGGCACGCTGTGGGCACCCACCCGACGCCCGCCCTTCCTACAGATACCTGGTGCTAGAACACGTATCTGGTGGGGAGCTGTTTGACTACCTGGTCAAGAAGGGGAGGCTGACCCCCAAAGAGGCCCGAAAGTTCTTCCGGCAGATCATCTCAGCGCTGGACTTCTGCCACAGTCACTCTATATGGTGTGTGCTGTCCCCCACCACGTGACCCCACCCCCAATTTTTCTCCCCCAGCTGGCTCCCCTTGGCAGCAGGAAGCTTCCTGCCAGGTGCCCACCCACGGCTCCAGGAGCCCCTTCTCCACTTTTTCAGGGGTTTTGGGGAACAGGGCGCCCTCATTCCGGGAGCCCAGAGCAGGTGTGGGGGAAGCAGTGAGGGGGGATGGAACCCCAGGGAGTAAAGCGGAGCCCGCCCAGGGGCCCGCGGGAGCGCGTGGTGTGACCCAAGAGTCCTTGCCCCTCGGTGGAGCCAACCCCCAGGCAGGCGACTTCCGATTGGCTGCCTGTGACATCACCGTGCTAGGCTGCCATTGGATCAGTGCTGTGTGGGTGGGGCTTGGGGGCGGGACCCAGGTCAACCGCCACCACATCCCTTCCAGCCACAGGGATTTGAAACCAGAAAACCTTTTGCTGGACGAGAAGAACAACATCCGCATCGCGGACTTCGGCATGGCGTCCCTGCAGGTGGGGGACAGCCTGCTGGAGACCAGCTGCGGGTGAGTGGGTGCCCCCTCCCGGCGGCGGCCCGTTCTGCACCGGCCCGGAGGCGTCTCAGTGCTTCGACCCCTAGTCCCGCCCTGTAGAGGCCATGAGTGGTCTGTCTCTGTGGCCCCCCAGGCAGATGGCCCTGCAGCTCCCAGGTCCCCTCCAGCACCCCGCAGCCCCCTGGTTCTGTTTCTGGAGGTGGTTCCGTTGTGTCGTCCAGTGGGGGGTGGGGTGGCAGGTCTTCCCTGGGCTCTCCCTCCTGGAAGGCGGGTCCAGCCCCGGTCCATCCGCGTGAACCTTCCTCAGATGTCTGTCTGTCTGTCTCCTTGGACCAGGACGGCTGGGCAGCCTTGAGTGTGGCCGAGCCCCCACGCTCCTAGGCCTGTGTCTCCGCTGAGCATGGGGTGGGGCAGCGGGAGGGCAGTGACACCAGAGCCCCTTTAGGCTCCGGGTGGACCTGAGGGTCCCGTGTGTGGCATCCTCCCCAGGCGGAGGCAGCCTCTCAGTGCCCACCCTGCGGTCCTGGCTGGGCGACGGCGAGTCCCGAGCCTGTGCCCTGACTGTTGCTTTTGCCTTCAGGTCCCCCCACTATGCCTGCCCCGAGGTGATCCGGGTAAGTAGCCATCACTCCAGCCCCTGCCTGTGGGAGGGGGCCAACCCCCCTCTCAGACCCTGCGCTTGCAAAGCCCCCGGGCCCTGCGTCTGCTGCGTCCCCCAACCGCAGTGCCCTCCGCAGGGAGAGAAATACGACGGCCGCAAGGCGGACGTGTGGAGCTGCGGTGTGATCCTGTTCGCCCTGCTGGTGGTGAGACCCCGCCCCCGCGCCTCTCCGTCGGCACCCTGCTCTGCCCCACCCCGCCCCCACCCAGTCCCTCCGCCCTGCGGTGACCCCGTCCCTGGCCGACAGGGGGCGCTGCCCTTCGACGACGACAACCTGCGGCAGCTGCTGGAGAAGGTGAAGCGGGGCGTGTTCCACATGCCGCACTTCATCCCGCCCGACTGCCAGAGCCTGCTGCGCGGCATGATCGAGGTGGACGCGGCGCGGCGCCTGACGGTGCGTCCAGAGGGCACGGGGCGCGCACTGCACCCCTTCCAGGGTCCCCAGGGGCACAGGTTCCATCTCCATGCGTCCTGGGGGAGGGAGACTTCACCTGTGCCTGCAAGTGTGGTCCAGGGAGCCCTGCGTGTGCACGGGTGTGTGCGGGCGTGTACACGTATGTGAGTGCATGCGCAGCTCTGTGTGAATGGGTACATGGGTGTGTGCCTGTGTATGTGTGCATGGTGTATACATAGGTTTGTGAACACGTGCACAGGTGTGAGCACACGTGTGTGAGTACATGCACAGCTGTGTGAACGGGTGCACGGGTAAGTGCACATGTGCGCGGTGTGTGAGTACATAGTTTGAACAGGTGCACGGGTGTGTGTGCATGTTCACAGGTGTGTGAATGCACGTGCATGAGTATGCACATCTGTGTGTGCACAGGTGCATGCATGTGTGTGAGTGTACACAGCTGTGTGAACAGGTGCATGGATGTGCATGTGCACGGGTGTGAGTGCACGTGTATGAGTACACAGCTTTGTGCACGTGTGTGTACATGTGCACACAGGTGTCCGTGCGCATGCATGTGAGAACACATGTGCAGGTGTGTGCGCAGGTATGTGAGCACGTGCCCAGGTGTGAATATGTGCAGTTCTATGTGTGTGTGCACACAAAGGCTTCCTGCTGGCCTGTGCCTGCAGGTGTGGTTCCAGATTGCTGGGTGTGCCTGGGAAGCTGTAGCTTCCCCACACACACCTGCTCTCCCACCTCCAGGCCAGCCTTGTCAGTGGGACTAGTTCCTCATGACCCACTGACTGCTGGGGGGCTAGGGGGGCCTGAGGGAAGCCCCACTTCTGAAAGAAGCCCCCAGCCAGCCTCATCAGGGCTTAGCTGGTACCAGGATGGCAGGTCCCCAGAGCAAGGGCAGCAGGACCCCTCTGGGCTGGCCTCTGCAGAACGGGGGTGGCCCTCTCCCACCCTCCCCAACCCAGCTGTCCACAGTCTGGCGGGGAGGCCCTTGGGGAGGGGCCTTTGAGCTTCCTGCTCACACCTGCACCCCAGCCCCTCCTCACAGGTGGGCTGGGCCCCTGGCTGCTCTCCGCTCTGCTCCTCAGGCCTTCTTCTCTGAGCCACCAAGGGGCCCCCAGCTGCAGGCAGTGGGGGAGGGGCCCCCTGCTCCCTGCCTGCAGTCCCCAGCACCCCAACATCCTTTTCTCTATATCAGCATTTCCTCTTCCACTTGGGGTAGGCAGGGTCAGGAGGCTAGCCTGGAGCCTCTGGTATGCAGCCCCTCCCCATCTTCCTCCATCTCCATCCTCCCCTGTGCCCCCATGTCCCCTGCGCCCCCATGTCCCCTGCCCCATCATCCTTCCCTCCCCTCCCTCCTCCCCCGCCCTTCCCTCCCAGCCCTGCTGTCTGCACTCCTGTCTTCCTCCACTGTCATCCTCCCATCCCCGTGCTCCCAGCTCCGGCTCCCTCTGGCCTCCTAACGTGGGCTCTGTCCTCCCTCCGTACTAACTTCCTGTTTCTCTTTCTTGTAGCTAGAGCACATTCAGAAACACATATGGTATATGTAAGTAGCTTTTCCTCCCACTCATCACCTGCTTTGCCTGTTGCTGTGGCCCCAGGGCCTGCTAGGGAAGGTGGGGGGCGGACCCAGCCCAGCGCAGGCCTGCCCCCAGCCTGGGCCCAGCTCTCGGGGACCCTGGCCGGCGTGCACTGTGCACAGGCAGGACACAGGTGTACAGGGGCTGGGTGCAGGGAGAGCAGGACTCAGGGTCCCCAGGAAGGGCCGGTGGGGCCAGAGGGGCCTCAGGCCAGCCTGAGGTGAGCGGCCGCCGGTGGCGCCCTGTCTTCCACAGAGGCGGCAAGAACGAGCCGGAACCCGAGCAGCCCGTGCCGCGCAAGGTGCAGATCCGCTCGCTGCCCAGCCTGGACGACATCGACCCCGACGTGCTGGACAGCATGCACTCGCTGGGCTGCTTCCGAGACCGCAACAAGCTGCTGCAGGACCTGCTGTCCGAGGAGTACGTGCACGCGGGGGCGGTGGGGACGCGGTGGCCCCCAGGGCTGCCATCGGGGCTGCCAACCCTCTCTCGGGCCCTCCCACTCCTGCAGGGAGAACCAGGAGAAGATGATCTACTTCCTCCTCCTGGACCGGAAAGAAAGGTACCCGAGCCATGAGGACGAGGACCTGCCCCCCAGGAATGAAATAGGTACAAGGGCCCCGAGGACACCCACGCCACCCGCCAGGCCCCCAGGCTGCCTGGTCCTGACCCCCGTCTGCACGCAGACCCTCCCCGGAAGCGTGTCGACTCCCCCATGCTGAACCGGCATGGCAAGCGGCGGCCCGAGCGCAAGTCCATGGAAGTGCTGAGCGTGACGGACGGCGGCTCGCCGGTGCCTGCTCGGCGGGCCATCGAGATGGCCCAGCACGGCCAGAGGTACGTGCCTCCTGGGAGGACCCAGTGCCCTAGCTGCTGGCATCCTGGCCTGCTCGATGTGGGTGCCCCTCACGGGCTGTGCTGGGCCTGGCCTAGCTTGTTTCTGCCCCCTGGCCCTGCAGCTGGCCAGGCTGAGCTGGGCGGGGCTTGGCTTGGTCGGCCTGGACAGGACTGGGCCCAGCTGGGCTGGAGTAGATTAGACTGGACTGATCTGAGCTGGCCTGGAGCGGACCAGAGTAGACCTGACTGGGCCGGGCTGGGCCGGGCTGAACTGGGCTGGACTGGACTGGGCTGGGCCGGGCTGAGCTGGACTGATCTGAATTTGGCTTTGCTTTATTGGCCTGGGCCAAGCTGTGCTGGGCTGGAGTGGAGTGGAGTGAACTGCAGTAGGTGGGCTGAGCGGGGGAGGCCGGACGGTGCTCAGAGCTGGCAGCCCAGCAGGCCTGTTATCCCTCATTGCTGCCCTGTGTTTAGGTCACCTGTGGCTGTGCAGGGGGCAGGGACATTGAATTCTGGGGGTCAACGAGCAGGTCTGGGCTGGCCTGACAGAACCCCCTGGAGGAAGGCAAGGCATCTTGGCCCCACAGAGTCGCAGCCGACTGAGGGCTGGGGCCCGGTGTTTCTGCCCAGGTGGGGGCTTTGGTAGTCTGGGGCCTGGGTAGCTCTGGCTGCCTCTGATCAGCTGGGTGCTGGATGCTTGAGCTGGTCAGGCCTCTTGAGAAAGCTGCCAGCAAACAGGAGCCGCAGGGCTGCTGGGCCACCATCAGGGTTGAGCTGGGCTGGTGGTCCACAGTCACCCGGTGGCCCCGGGCCCTCCCCAGGAAACCAGGCTGGCTCAGCCTCTGGCCTGGGGTCCTGGCCGTCCGGAGCCTCCTTCCAGGTGTCCACTGCCATGGGCTCTTGGTACCAGGGTGGGGTACGGAGAGGAGCAGGAGGAAGGTCCCTTGCTGGCCCGAGTCCTGCTTGCTGTGGGCGCACCCCTCCCACCCCACTGGCATAGGCCTCAGGGCAGGGGCTGGGCATGGAGCCATGGGGCCGTGGCTTCTGCTGTGCTTTCCGGACCTGGCTGCCGCGGGGGCAGGTGCTGGGCTGGGGTCGGTGTGAACCAGCCCGATGGTCGCCAGGGAGCCCCTTCCTCCCGACGCCTCCTGGCCCTACTGCTCCTCAGGACTCTGCTTCTCATTCTTGGTGCTGAATGACAATGGGCCGCCCGCTGGGGCTGGTGGTGGGTGCTGGGCGTCCTCCAAGGCCTGGCCAGGCCACCCTGCCCAGCAGGTCAGGTCAATAGGGGGTTCGCTACGGCCCTGGTGCTCTCCTGCCCAATGTCCCCTGGCATCTGTGTGCCCTGGCCTGGGGCCAGGTGAGCTGCGCCCAGCTCAGGCGCATGGAGATCTGGCCTCCCGGGCTCCTGGAGGGGCCGCGGGAGTAACTCTGTTTTCTCGCTTTGTTCCTGCTGTAGTAAAGCAGTGTTCAGTAAAAGCCTGGATATCGCTGAAGCCCACCCCCAATTCAGCAAAGAAGACAGGTATACACCTTGCCCACCTACCCCGCCCCCCAGCTCCACAGGCCACGCGGGCCTGGTGGCAGGGCTGGGCATCCAACAGCGGCACCCAGCCCTCTCCCCGTTAGCAAGGGAACCTTCCCGCAAGCCGGGGACGGCGCTGGGTCGGGCCAGGCCGAGGCTCAGGAGTGGGGCTGCTGAGCGAGGCCAGTGGCCAGCCAGGAGATGGGCTGGGAGGCCCACTGTGCGCTCCCGCTGGGCCCCGAGTGGCTGCAGGCGTGAGGTGCCTTCCGGCCCACCCTCGTGCTGCCGCCGGTGGGCCTCATGGGCTGGTTCGCCTTCCCCCTGCCAGCGCTTGCCCCTGGCCCCTGCACCCACCCTGCTGCCCACTAGCGCCCAAGTGGCAGCAGCAGCCCCAGGCAGCTCAGCCGGCCCACGTCTGCCTGCAGGCTCCCAAGTTGGTGGCAGGAGCTGTGCGGTCCGGGGGTCTCTGCATGGCCCCGCCTTCCCGAGCCCCCACCCTGCACCTGCAGGGCCTGCTGCCTGAGGGCGACAGAGGTCACACCTCCCACTGGCCCCCGGCCACGCCTGCTCCTTCTGTCTCGGCACCTGCAGCTTAGTCTCCAGGGGCCGCCTGGTTAGACGAGGGTGTGGAGATGGCTCTAGTTCCCTTCCTCCCGTTGCTGCTTTTTGCTTCCTTGTGCCAGCCACGAACTCACGCTGGCCCGCAGGAGGCCCTGGGCATTGGGCCTCAATTGTGGCTGCTGTGGGGGCACCAGCTGGTACCGACCAGCTCTCGCAGCTCCCCTCTCAGCATCTGAAAGCTTCGGGCACCAGCCTGACTCTGGGCAGGCTGGGGTGGGGGGCTGGGTCAGGGTCAGTGCCCCTGGCTCTGTGGCTGTCAGGTGGGGGGGTTGGAGGGTCATGGCCACGGGACCACAGCCCACAGGTGCGAGGTGGGGCAGCTGAGAGCCAGTCTGGCCAGCGCAGGCCGTGCTCCTCCCCAGGCCCAGGGGCCAGGCCGAGGCTGCGCTGGTGGGTGAACAGGCCTGGGTGGGCGGCAGGAGCGGCCTTCTGGCCTTTCCTGGGGCTGCCTCGGTCCCCCCGTTCCCATTTCCTGCCTCTAAGGACAGCAGGTGCCCAGGGGCGAGCCGATGTTTGCCCCCCTCAAGGCCACAAGGTGCGGTGGTGTGAGGCCCAGCAGGCCCGGCCCCTGCCCCGAGGGGGCCCAGTTCCTGCCCGAGGGGCCGGTGGCTGCATCCTCCCAACCAGGCACACTGGGCCAGTGGTCCCCCTCAGGCCCGTGCCCAGGCCAGGCCAGCGGGCACAGTGGGGCCAGTGAGGGACAAGGCCGCAGTCTGTGCCAGTGCCCACCCAACTTCGACTCGTCCAGGCCCTCGTGGTACGAGGGGCGCCATGGGCCAGCCTGCTGTGGGCAGTTCTGGGCTGCACAGGTGGGCCATGGGCATGGAGGGACTGGCTGGTGCCCAGCTGGCGGCCCACATGCTGGGATGTGAGGCTCTGGGCTGAGTGACAGCTCAGCCTTGGGGGTCAGGCCGGGCTCAGGGCAGCTGGAGTGTGGAGAGTGGACCTGGGGCGGGGGCTGGACTCGGGTCACAGGAAGCCCCCGTCTGCCCTGGCCCCTCCATCCACCCACACCCCTGAGAGTCCCCTGTGGAGGCCCCCTCTGCTCTCCTGGGCCTCAGGCCTGACAGCTCCTGCCTGGTGAGAGGAGCCCCAAGACTGCACCCCTGGGGCTGTGATGTTGTGGGGGGAACTAGAGGGCTGTGGGGCTCCTGGGCCCGGTACGAGGCGAGTGGGGATAGCAGGACAGGCAGGCCCGGGCGTGGCCAGGTCTCTGAGCCTCTTGGACGGTCACCTGGGGGGAAAGGAGCCGAGAGCCGGCGGCCCCTTCGCAGGCTGAGCTGGCCCCGCGCCTGTGTCTCCAGGTCTAGATCCATCAGCGGCGCGTCCTCAGGCCTCTCCACCAGCCCTCTCAGCAGCCCCCGGGTGAGTGAGCCGCCCACCGCCCGCCTGGGCCCCCACACAAAGGAGGGGAGGCTCAGCGGCCCTGGGAAGAGGCCCCCGCCTGGTCCCCGCCTGCTGCTGGGGCCACTGCGTTGCTGCTGCTCTCGCTAACTGCACGTTCTTTTGTTCTGTTCTGTTTGTTTTCTCGTGCGTCATTTGTTTTCTTTTGTGGCAAACGCTCCCCCCGCCCCCCCGCACCTGCCTGCGCCCGCTGGTCCTGCCCTGGGGCCTTGGCTTCTTTATGGTCCCCCTGGTGCTGTGTGTGCATGCGGGGGTGGGGCGGGCGCATGCATGGCCGACCCCCGCGCTCTCCTCCCGCCCTCTGCGCCTGCCCTGTAGCCTGTTAGGAAGTTTGTCCTGCCTCCCCCACCCCCCGGGATCCCCTTCGTGGCCTGCACCCCGGCCACCACCGCGGAGCCCGCAGCTTGTCGGAGTGCCTCTCGGCCCGGACACGCCCTCCCTCCACAGGCCGCACCTCGGCCCAACCCCAAGACCCAGACCTTGCCAAGCAAGGCCAAGCTGACCGACAAGCCTCTGCAGGGCACCAAGTCCAACCCGCTCCCGGCTGGCACCCAGGCCCGGCCCCCTGTCCCCGGCAGCCTCGGCCCCCAGCTGGCCCTGACCCCCGGGCCGGCTGCCCTGCCGGCCCCCACCCGGCTCCCGCCCACTGGAACTGAACCAAACACCAAATCTGTCCCCACCATACAGGTGACCCCTCACCCCTCTCCAAGGGGCAGTCCCCTCCCCACCCCCAAGGGGACGCCTGTGCACACGCCTAAAGACAGTCCGGCAGGCACGCCCAACCCCACACCACCGTCCAGCCCCAGCGTCGGAGGGGTGCCCTGGAGGACGAGGCTCAACTCCATCAAGAACAGCTTCCTGGGGTCGCCTCGCTTCCACCGCCGGAAACTGCAAGGTGAGCGCGGTGCCATCTGTTGGGGAACAGCAAGCAGGGCTGGCTGAAGGCCAGACGAGTCAGGGCCTGATTTCAGCACCAGAGGTCAGGACAGCTCCCCACAGCCGGGACGGGGCAGGGTGGGCCTGTGCCCTGGGGCACCCAGGACAGTGGGGGCAGCTCCACAGGACGCCCCGCCGTGCAGGGGAAATGGCCGGGTGGTCATCACACCTCCCTGTCTCTGTTTGCAGTTCCGACGCCAGAGGAGATGTCCAACCTGACCCCGGAGTCGTCCCCAGAGTAAGTGGTCCCTGCCGTCACCTCCCGCTTGGTGCTGGGATGCGTGGCATCCTCTGAGGGCTCCGGTCCTTCTCCCCTGCTCCCCGTGGCCCGGGCTGCCGCTGGTCCCTCCTTCCAGCGCTGGCATGCCTGAGTCTCTGCACTGTGAGCGCTGGGCCAGGAGCAGGGCCTGGGGCTGCTCAGAAGCCACAGCCTGGGGTGAGCAGCCTGGGCTGGCTGGAGGCAAGGGAGCACACGGCCACGCCGCACATGATCGTCGCACGTGCAGGCTCGCCCCCACTTCCCCAGACCCAGCCTCGGCCCTGGACGTGCGGGCGTGGGGGCGCCGCCCGGGGAGGGCCTAGCGGGAGGCTGCCGCGACTTCACACAGGCAGCGAAGGCAGGCGGGCCAGTGTCTGAAGGAAGGGAAGCTGTCATTGTGCTGCGCGCTCTGAGTGAGGCTGAGGACACCACGCCCATGGCGGCGCCTCCAGCTGGCACCCAGGCCCCGAGGTCCTGGATTTAGGGAACTCTGTAACCCCAGGGGTCGTGTCCCTTCAGTTGCAATTTCCTGCTGCTGTCGAAAGGTTTCCCAAACATACTTGTAACAGAATTGTGACATTTCTCAGAAAGGCTAGAGAGTAAGGAGCCCCCAGAGCAGCCTGACGTTGCCGGGTGGCTGCAGCTTCTCCTTCACAGTGAGGCCTCATCCCCCCACCTGAGGGTCCAACGGGAACGGGCAGACGCAGTGACCTGGTGGCCCTGGGAAGCTCGGCACAGTTAACCCCCCGAGTGCCTCCCCCTACAGAAGACGTGCTCCTGGCCCCGAGACGTCTGCCCCTCAGCTGCGGGAGGGGGTGTGTGGGTGGGCAGGTCTGAGACATCGTCTGGCCGGAAGCCGAGCTTGGGGGACGCCGCAGGGCCACGGGCAGGGCCACGGGCAGGGCCACTGTGGCCGTCGTGAGGAGGATTTCAACCCCAGCCTTTGCTCTCAAGGCTGTTGACTGACTAGACGAGGCCGCCCACATGGTGGCACTGACTACCTACCACGTCTACAAAATACCTCTGAAGTAGCAGTGCCCCGTGTCGGACCAAACTGGCCAGGTTGACACCTAAAGTAACAGTCACAGGCTATCCCCACACGCCCTCCACTGGCCTTTCTGGCTCAGCCGGGTTTCTCTTAGACACAGGACTACTTTGCCAGAGAAAAGAAACCGGGTTTTCATTGTGACTCATCTGCCTTCATCAAGGGAGGAGATTGGCAGAGCCCCCACCAGTGGGTTCCCAAGCTGCCCGCCCCCAAGCGTCTCGTGGGCTCCGAGCCCCAGCGCAGCGTGGGGACCGCGGCAAGCCCCTCCGGGCAGGAGCCTGCACTTGCCGGCGCAGCAGATGGCCTGGGAGGGAACCCGAGTGAGGGTGTGCGGTGCGAAAGGACACGTGTCTCCATGTCTTCGCCTCGGCGCCCTTCTGTCGGGGTCCCTGGCCAGGCACAGGCAGCGCCAGCTGACGAGAGTAGAAAGGGGCTGTGTTGGCAGGCGGCCGGTTTCCGGAATTCTCCTCACGGTGGTTGAAGAGCGACTCTGGAAACAGGCAGGGGAAGAAGTCACGTGGCCAGGAAAGCCTCTGGCAACGCCTGGGGGGGTGGTAAGAATGATGGGGCAGCACCGGGGGCAAGACGCTGAGCGAGGACCAGGCTGGCCCCCACCCCGGACATGGCTGCTATGGCCGCCTCCTCCCAGGTCCCTGCTTCTGCACCCCTGACCCCCCCGTTTGAGGGGGCGCATTTGATGGGTGGAGCTCTGGTCACATGTCCACACCGTAGCTGCAAGGGCGGCGGCCTGGGCGTCCCTTAGCCATGGCTGCGTGACAGATGGCTCCCAGCACTCAGCAGCGTAAAGCAGCGCACTTAGCACCTCAGCCTCCGTGGTCAGGACCTGGCATGCCCAGCCGGCCCTCTGCTTTAGGGCAACAACGGGCTGTGGTCGTTCAAGGCTGGACGGGGGCAGGACCTGCAGCTGAGCTCAGGGTGTTGGCAGGACTCGGGGCTGTGTGGGCCTCTCCAGCGGCCTGGGGTTCACCAGAAGCAGGGAAGACATGCTAGCAAGATGGGAGTCACAGCCTTATGTAACCTGGTCTCGGAGGTGACATCTGCTTTTCCCGTTTTCCTGGTCAAAAGCAGGTCACAGGCCTTGGCCATGCCCGAGGGAGGGTCCTGCATAGACGTGAACCCAGGAGGCAGGATGTTGGGGCCGGCTGAGGGGTCTGTCCCACTGGTGTGTGCTGTCACGGGGGACGTGGGGGGGAGGTCTCCACCTCAGAGAAGGGTGGCCCCAGACACAGTGACAAGACCAGCATGATGACCAACCGAATAGATTAAGGGAGACCCTCGGTGCTGGTGAGGTGAGGGGCCAGGCAGAAGGGCGCTGCCAGCCCGGGGCTCTGCAGGTGCGGCTCCTGGCCTGCCCAGCACAGCACAGCAACTGTGTCCCTGGGGTTTGAAGCCACCTCTGTGTCCCAGCGTGACCTGGGCTGGGTCAACAGGGAGGTGAGCAGCCACCAGCCCCTGGAATGGGAGTTACGGAGGGTGGCCTGGGGTCCCTGGTCTCCCCTATCCCCGGCTGCCCCAACCACCACTCCACCTCCGGCACTTCCCCTGCTCCCCTCACAGTCCCAGGGAGGGGGGCACCTTCCAGAAAAGTGCCTTAACAGAGAAAAGCAAGACTGGGGGTCAGGGTGGGTTCTCCTTTCCTTTCTGGTTGGATTTCAGTGGGTGCTGTTTGGGCCGAGGTATTGGAGGCCCAGGGCTGTGGGATTAGGGGTAGGGTCAGGGCCAGGGCACGGGGGGTGCCGTCAGGGTGAGGTGGAGGGGTCAGGATGAGGGGGGGCATCAGGGATGAGGCAGGTGGGGGTCAGGGTCGGGATGAGGGGGTCGGGGTCAGGATGGTGGGGTCAGGGTCGGGACGGGGTCAGGGTCGGGATGGTGGGGTCAGGGTCGGGACGAGGGGGTCGGGGTCGGGATGAGGGGGTCGGGGTCAGGGCACTGAGCTGGTCCCCAGCCTGGAGGCGGGGGCAGGCCTGTCCTCAGAGGCGCAGCACCGGACGTAATCAGCCCCGTCCCTCCCTCACAGGCTGGCCAAGAAGTCCTGGTTCGGGAACTTCATCAGCCTGGAGAAGGAGGAACAGATCTTTGTGGTCATCAAGGACAAGCCCCTGAGCTCCATCAAAGCCGACATCGTGCACGCCTTCCTGTCGGTGAGCCCCACCCGCCCAGACGGAGCCTCTGTCCACTCACTCGACAGACACACACGTCTCCCGCCTACGCTGGCAGGGGCCCCTGGCCTGGGGGAGCTGGTGGGTTGGGGCGGGAGACGGGCGTTGACAAAACAAGTCACATTGCATACAGGCCCCAACTGGGGCTGGGCTGTGGCAGCAGGGGCACCGGGGACAGGGTGGGCCTCTGCCCACCCCCACATGCTGCTGGCCCCTGACCTCCCCTCCCCCTGCGGCCTGGTGGCTCTGAGGGTAGCTGCACTCGGGCTTCGCACGGCTTCCGCTTGTCCTTGTGAGGGGCAGAAAGCCCTGAAGGCCCTCCAGTGTCCCGCCAGGGGGCCCTGTGCTGAGCCCACCATGGGGTGGGCAGGGCCTGCCTGCTGGTGTCTGTAACTCAGGGTGGCCGCAGCCCTGGGTGCTCTGCCACCCCCACCACCTTGACTGCAGCCAAGGTTCCCTGAGGGCCACGAGGACACTCGGTGATCTCAGGGGGCAGGAACGCCCAGCACCAGGCAGGGTGTCGGCCTCGAGTTGGAAGCAGCACCCTGCTCCTCTCTCCTGTCCCCCACCCCCTGGGACACCAGGACCTCCTCCCCAGTGACATGGACGCAGCCCCTGGCCTCTTCAGCTGCCTGATGCAGGCTGGCCCTTATCTTGAGGCCCATGCGCTCCTGAGGGGCAGAGACCTGTGCTGGGGTGACCCTCTGAGGCAGGACCGCCCCTGGACTTGTTGTGAACAGCATTTCACATGACGCCCAGGGGGCCGGCCAGGCGCTGAGAGCCGCCAGCTCCCAGAACCAGCAGAGCAGTGGGCGCGGCCCCCAGCAATGGCCATGTGGCCTGGTCCTCAGGAGGCAGCAGAGGCTCCACCCCTCCACCCTGGGTCTGTGCGGCTGCTCTGTGGGGTGCCCGTTCTCACTGGCCTCATTGCCTCTCTCCCACCGGATGTATATCGCTCCTTAGCCAGCACTGCCCTCGGGATGTCGGTCTGTCCTGTTGTTCTCAGCTGTCTGCACAGGGCAGAGGTTCCCAGCGCCCATGCTGGCTGGCCCTGGAGGGCGGAGGCCAGCTCCCTAGTTGGCAGATTTCTTCCGGCCACACCCATGTCACAGATGAGGCCAAGGGGCTGGCTCAGTGGGACCAGGTTCCCAGGCTTGTGCAGCGAGTTGGGGGGTGGGGCTGGGTCCATGCTCACGCCCCCTGCCACCCCACAGATCCCCAGCCTCAGTCACAGCGTCATCTCCCAGACCAGCTTCCGGGCCGAGTACAAGGCAACGGGGGGCCCGGCGGTGTTCCAGAAGCCGGTCAAGTTCCAGGTGGACATCACCTACACCGAGGGCGGGGCGGCACAGAAGGAGAACGGTGTCTACTCTGTCACGTTCACACTTCTGTCAGGTGAGCGTCCAGGCTGAGGGCATGGGCTCTGGGCCGCCCTGCCCGGATATAACCCCCCATCTCCCCCAGGCCCGAGCCGCCGCTTCAAGAGGGTCGTGGAGACCATTCAGACCCAGCTGCTGAGCACACATGACCAGCCGTCAGCCCAGCACTTATCAGGTGAGATGGGGCTCAGCTCGGGTAGCCCCGTGGGCTGGCAAGCAGGGCATGGCCCCTCCCACGGCCCCCTCCCCACCCCAGCTGCGCCGCGCCCCCAGGGAGCAGGGCCTCTCCAGCGTGGCGGGCCGGCCCGTCTCTGCACACCCAGGGAGGTAGAGCCCAGCACACCACACTGAAAGGCGCCTCTTGTCCACCGTAGAACCCCCCCCGCCAGCGCCAGGACTAAGCTGGGGTGCTGGGCTTAAGGGCCAGAAGGTGGCCACCAGCTACGAGAGTAGCCTCTGACGCTGGCAGGTAAGGTGTCCAGCCCCGCCACTGGGGCAGGGAGGGGGCTGCGGTCAGGTCCTCTGCCAAGGGCCAGGCTGGCCCTGAGGAGGGCACCACGTGCCCACTCACATGGCCAGTGGCCAGCTCCCGGCCCTGGACAGGCCACGCAGGACCAGAACCCGGCTGAGTACCCGGACACAGGGCAGCCTGGCCCCGGGCGAGAGAAAGCAGGCTCTGGGAGAGCAGTGACCAAGGCCCTGCCTGGAGCCCTGGCCCCTGTGGGGGCTCCCCGCAGCACCCTGCAAGGGCTGTGGCTCAGGTGCCCAGTCCGGCTGACACGTAGTAGGGCTGCCTGCTGCCTGCCTTCCCCAAGACGGGCCTGTGACTCTGGCCCTGAGCAGGACAGAGGGGGCCTGAGGCCCCAAAGCAGGGGCACCCCAACTGGGCCTAGAGCAGCCACACACGAAAAGGGGTCGCCCAGGACTGGAAGCGCTGGGGGCCTGGGAGCCCAAGTGTCACGCTGCTCAGTGTCTGGTGGGGAGCGGGCTGCACTGCTGTGGGTGTGGGTGAGCCCGTGGTGGGCACCTGCATGAGTCACCGTCTGTTAGCGAGAGTGTGCAGCGCGTGTCTGGACGGCAGTGAGGCACGGGGTTGCCATGAGGCCGGTTCCAGGGCTCGGGGAGCACAGCACCCAGCCCAAGTCCTGCCTCCCTGAGCGCCCTGCGGCTGGCTGCGGCCTCAGTGGGCCCTTTTCCAAGTCTGTTGGGTCACCTTCTGTGCTTCTTGTGGGGTCTTACGGGCCAGCCCGGCCCAGCTGTCCACCCTGCCCTTCATCCTCATTCCATCGCCTGTGTCTCACCCACCACCCTCCTTTTCTTCCCCATGTGCCGCTCTGCCCCACTGGTGGGTTGGGGCTGCAGCACCCCCACGGGGTGGGCCCGCTCTCCCGGCCCTGGGAGCCGGGTGGCTGGGCGGTTAGGCTGGTTCCTCAGCCTCAAGGTCTCCACCTCAGAGCAGGGCAGCGCTGACAGGGAAACAGGCTGGCGAAGGACAGAGCTTGTCCAGGGAGGCAAGCTGCCCAGAGGGCTCCTGTGCCTGCAGCCGCCCACAGCAGGGGCCCTTGTTGGCCCTGACCTATTTAGCCCTGTACCCAGATCCATGTCTCTGGAGACTCTGGGGGGCCCACTGTGGGACCCAAAGCCATCTCCCGTGCCCTTCTTCAGGGAGCCTGTACCTGGGGAGCCCAATCTGGGACCCTAGCCCATCCCTGGGCCCCATCGCCAGGCCTCTCCCATGGGTCTCCCTGTGCTCCAGCCTTTCCCAGCATGCTCCTCCCATACTGGGTGCTGTTGTCCAGCGAGCTCAGTCCTAGAGCCACCATAGGGGGTGGGTGGAAGCAGCGGCCCTCAGGCACCAGGACAAGAGACCTGGTGGCCATCTGGCCCAGGGAGGGGAGGCGGAGAGGACACATCCACCTTAGACAGGCCTTAGTGACAGCCCTGGGGGAGCAGCCCCCGCCCTGCTCCCTCCCCCACACCAGCCCGCTGCCAGTACCAACAGTCCCAGGCCCAGCCGCGGGTGGCAGAGGGTCAGAAGGGTGCAGCAGAGGCAGGGTGAGGACAAGTAGGTGGCCAGCACAGACCATGGCCAGAGCCCTGGGCTTCTCAGCTTCAGAGCGTGTGTCCTGAGCCCAGGCCCGGACACAGCAGAGGGAGGACCGGACAGGCTCAGGGCGCCCAGAGGGCTGGCTGGTTTACTGCACAGGAGGCCTCCACTTGATGCCTGCATCCTGAGCCCCGCCCACTCCAGGCTCCACCCTCAGATGAGCCCCGCCCCACGTTTGACTCCGCCCTCTGCTCTGAGCCCCACCCCACTCCAGGCCCCACCCTCTGTTGAGCTCCGCCCCATTCCAGGCTCTGCCCTTCTAAACTCCCCATTACACTCCAGGCTCCAGTCCCTGCCCTGAGCCACAGGCTCCGCCCCTCCGGGCCCCGCCCCACTCTGGGCTCCGCCCCTCCCCTGTTGAGGGCCTGGCCGTGTGGCAGTGCCCAGCTGAGGTCCTAGAGGTCCTAGCGGGAAGCCTTTTTCACACGTCTCCCTCCCTCTCTCCGTTCTGTGCTCCAGACACCACTAACTGTATGGAAATGATGACGGGGAGGCTTTCCAAATGTGGTAAGAACCCCTCAAGATCACCTGGGCCCTCAGCCTATCACCCCAACCTGTGACTTGCTCCCGGCCGGGTGCTGCTCCGCTGCCCCTGGGGCTGTCCTGGGGTCCCTGTGTAGCTTGGGGCCCAGACACACACAGGGGACCCAGCATAGGCTCCTCACAAGTCCAGCCACGCATCTCTGCCAGGAGCAGCCTCTGTCACTCACCCACCAGGGCAGGCACAGGCCTGGCCCTAGGATTAGGGCAGGCCAGGGAGGGACCCCAGTGCTCAGAGCAGGAAAAGGTCCCCGTGCCCCGAGGCCAGTAAGGGTCGCGGGTGCGGGCTCTGGCCTGGGGTTAGGGTGGATTCTAGTCCTGGACCAGGAAGCCCTCACCAGGCCCTCTGTCCACTGGAGGGGTGCGAGTGGGGGGGACGTTCCTGCGGAGGCCTCGCAAGCACTCCCCTTCCCCTGTACCTGGCAGGGAGAGGAGGGGCCCCACATGCTCCGAGCTCAGGTGGAGCTCAGGCTTAGGAAACAGCTGAGGTGGCCCCTAGCAGTGCACCTGGGCCGCGAGCACTGGGCCCCCAGGTTCCTGCCCTCTTCCTCCTGACCTCAGGACATTCCCCACTCTGGCTGCCTGTCCCCAGCCCCCCCATACCCGAGCCCTCCATGCCTGTCCACCCACCCATCCATCCATCTGTCTGTCTGCTGCTGACCTCCATGTCCACACTCGGGGCTAGCCAGGGGGGGAGTGTGGCGGGCACGCTGGCTCCAGCCTCCCCAGGCCAGAGCAGGCCCCGTGGCCTTGTGCGGTCGGCCGCCAGTCCTCGGGTCCTGCTCAGCCCCGGGGCTCGCGGCAGGGGTCCTGATGCCTTGGTCGGCACTGTTGGGCTTAGCAGCCAGCAAGGCCCCCGGTGCCGGAGCTCAGCGCGTGGCTGAGGTGCAGGGGGGGGCGGGGCCTGGTGCCGGAGCTCAGGGCGTGGCTGAGGTGCAGGGGGGCGGGGCCTGGGCCGGGCCGGCGAGGGAGGCGGGTCTTCCTCCGCCCTGGGCTCCGCCCCTCAGCTCAGAGGCCTCGCGGTCCCCGCTTCTGGTCCCCGCAGCGCCGCTCCCGCCCGCCAGCCCTGGCGCCCAGGGACCCCCGCCGGCCGCCTGCCCACCCTGCTTGCTGTCGCCTGTCCCCGCGCCCCTGCCCATCTCAGACCTCACCTCGTTGGGTTTTTCTTTCTCTAGTCGAGGCCCTTTTGTTCATTTGTTTGTTTGTTCTTTCTCTCTCCTTCCCTCCCTTCCTCTTTCTCTCCCTTTTTTTTCTTTTTTCTTTTCTTTTTTTTCTTTTGTCTTCTGTTCTGTGTACCCAGGCAGCCCATTGAGTAACTTCTTTGACGTAATTAAACAACTTTTTTCAGACGAGAAGAACGGGCAGGCGGCCCAGGCCCCCAGCACGCCCGCCAAGCGGAGTGCCCACAGCCCACTCGGTGACTCGGCCGCTGGCCCTGGCCCTGGAGGGGATGCCGAGTGCCCACCGGGCAAGGACACGGCCAAGACGGGGCCACCCGCCGCCCGCCGCGAGCAGCCTTAGACACATAGCCCCCCCCAGCACGGCCCTGACAGTGGCCGCCAAGGCCGCCTCGCCACCCGCCCGCCTCCCGCCCTGAGTGGACCCAGGGCCGCGCCCGTCTGTCCATCTAGACTGTTGCGAAGCCGGGGAGGAAAGGAAAGGGGGCGCCAGGGCCACTGCCTGCGGCTGGACCTGCCCGTGCCCGCTCTCTCTTTCTCTCGCTGTCTCTCTCTCTGCCTGTCTCTTACAACGTCACTGTTTCCACTCTGATACCAGGAATTATCCCGAAAAGTTAACATGTCACCTCCACGAGGCCATCCCCCGGGCTCCGCGCCAGACACCGGCCGACTGAAGGCAGCTGCTGTGGACCTGCCCTCTGCCCTCCTGCTGCGGCCCGCCGGCCGCAGGCCCCGCCCACCTACCGCCGGTCCCGCCCGCCGGCTCCGCCCACCCGCCCTCGAGACGGCGCTGTCCGGTCTCCGCTCCGCATGGCCACCCGGAGGAGGACCTGGCTTCGAGGGGAAGCCGCCTCCGGCCCCGCCGACCGGACTCGCAGTGACCAGAGCCCTCGGCCGGTGCAGCCCGCTCAGGCCGGCCTGCAGGGCGGGCCCGTGGCGGGCGAAGCGGCCGCTCCTCGGCCGTGTCCCCCCTGCCCACAGCCCCCCCTCGTCCCGCAGTCGGCGCGGCCCCGTCTGCTACTCGTGGCACCCCGCTCCGCAGCTCGCGGCGCGCAGCGCTCCGGGCCCGGACCTGGAGGCAGCCACCCGCCCCCGGCTGGCCGCGGAGATCAGTATTATTTATTTGCTGTTTTAACTTATTGCGTTTCTTTACTTCTCTGTTCAGGGAAGGGGCGGCGGCAGCGTCCTCCTGCCGTCTGTCTGTGTCTCGGGCTGGGTGGGGCCCCGGTGCCCGGAGGCGGAGCCGTGGGGGCGGCGGGGGCAGGCCGGTGGGTGCAGCGCCGGCAAGCTACTGTAAACTTTAAAGAATTCCTGCAAGATATTTTTATAAACTTTTTTTTCTCAGTTGTTTTTGGAAAGGGGTGTGGGGGTGGGGGAGCCGCTGGGCAGGGTAGGTTCGTGTTGGGCTCTTGCTTTGGTTCTTTCTATACACACACACATATATATATTTAAAGAAAGGCGCGGTCCGCTCCGTCCCGGGCTCCGTCCCGTTACTGGGGAGAAGCAACTCCAGTCCTGTGGGGCGCGGGGTGGCCCCTGTGTGCCAGCGGGACGTCACCGCCGGGCCCCTCCGCCAGGCCCGGGATGGAGACCGTCTTGTTTTGTGTCTCAGAGCGGGGGTGGGAGGAAGGCCTCGAGCTGGCTCCCACCCACTCACAGGACAGCAGGGGCACCGCGGGGTTTTTGTACTAAAATGGCAAAAAGTAAAAAAAAAAAAAATACATAACCAAGGACAAAGTCAGCGGCGTCCTCCGCAGTGTGTGTTCTGTACAGCGAGGTCGCCTCGCTTTGTCTCCGTCCCCAGCTTCTGCTTGTGTTTCTTTCTGTGGGTGTGGCCCGGCGCAGCCCCGCCCAGGCTGGCCCAGGCCCCGCCCACAGTGTCCAGGGCGCCGGCACCTGCAGCCCGGAGGCTGGGGGCAGGGCGGTTCTGATTGCATGCCTTTGCTGTAACGAGTCCACTTTGCTTTTGGTGTCTCGCCCGCCCTGCCGCCCCTCCCGTCGCAAATAGATTTTAACGCTTCTGTTACACTGACCCCACCCCACAGGCTGGGATTTCCATACATAAGAAAAAAAATTAAACACCTATAACAGCAAAAGCCACGCGGTACAAGCGGGAGGGGCTGCTCTAGAGGCAGAGGACACCGAAAGCAATACCTCTTGTTAGCCTTCCTCTTTTGTACTTGGGACACACGCAGACGTCACGGAAACGGACAAGCCCCACCCAGTGTACCCCTGTCAAATAACTGTGAGCAACTCTAGTTCTGGAACAATAAATTCCTTCCGTAAAGACACCGACGCCGGTCTCCATCCAGGCGGGTGGGCAGGGCGGGGGTGTGGGACAAGCTGGGACCGGCCCTCGACCCGAAGTGGGATGTGCGCTGCTCTGGGCTCTGCCACATGTGGATGGCGCCACCTTCTGCCCCAGCCGAAGAGGACAGAACCCCACAGGCTGCCGGCCCCCACCTCCGCCCCCCCCCCAGCCAGGACCACCTGTGGGGCTGGGCTGGGTTGGGGAGGAGAGGCCCAGGGAGGGGCCCAGGGGAGCACCCCAGAGTTGGACAAGACGCACTGCCCCTGCCACTCTGCTGCCACCGAGACCTCGTGGGGTCACTCCGGCAACTGGGCTTTTCCCTCAAAGATGAACCTTCTTTCCAACCCTTTCCTGGGAAGAGGTGGATGGGTCGCTGTGGTCCAGCCCTGGAAGCGATGGGCCAAGGCCGGCAGGGAGCGCCCCTGGAGACCACAGGCTGGCCTCGCACGACGGGGGAACAGTCCCAGCCGTGCCCACCACGCCCGCCAGCCAGGGGTGTAGGCACCTCGACCACACACCAGCCAGCCGCCTCCTGCAGCTCCAGTGTGAAGGATGGGCCCAGCCACGAGCGCCACCAGGCCACCCAACCCCATGCGGTGAGGGCAGCATTTGGGAGCCCACCACATAGCTTGAGGACAGGCAGCAGCAATCCTCGACCAGGGGCCTGGGCAGAGGCCACGGTGCCCAGGAGGTGGCCTGCAACGCGGCATGCAGGCCCCGTACGGGAAGACCGGGCACAGCGTGGCCACTGTCTCCAGAGCAGAGTTCTGCCATGCCGGGTAGCTGGCTGTGGTGGGGTGTCCTGAGCACTGTCCTGGTCTCCACCCACCCCTGCGTGACAATCACATCTGCTCCCAGACAGTGCCACGTGTCCTCTGGGGGCAGAATCCGCCCTCGAGTCTGCGCCACCTCTGCTGGAGAGCCAGGCGTGCCCCGTGCTGGCCTCTCTGGCTCAGTGGGCAGCTCAGGGACTCTGCTCGAGGCCCAGGACGTGACTCTGCTGACACAGAGCTGGGTCTGCCTCCTCTGCCCGGCCCTGCAACCTCGCCCTGCCTTTGGGGGACGTGGGTGCCCAGAAGGCACTTTGGAGAAAACTGAGGGGACCAGGCTCTACTGCACTTGCAGGCCTGCAGAGCGTCCTGTCAACTTTGGCTTCAAAAACGGTGGAAGAAATTCGGCTGCTACGGTTCAGCAAAGGTTCAGGGCGAGTGGCCCTCGGGGTCCCAGATGGCTGGCCACAGAGAAGCGTCCCTGACCTGTGGTTCTGCCTTTGCCTTACTGGAAGTGCTGCTGATGCACGCAGGCCTCGTCCTCCCCTATGTGGGCCTCTAAACGTTTGTAGCCCACAGTGCCAGCCCCAATGGGCATGTGGCTGGACATCCAACAGGCAGGCCTGCCAGCTTGCCACCTGCCCACCCCCACACCCTTCAGCGGGAAGGGCCGCTCTGACACCAAGTATCAGAAACCAAGGCAAGCTAAGCCCCAAGCTGTTCATGCCAATACTTACTAGTATAAAATTACAAACATGTAAAGTAAAAGCCACTACATGAAGACCTGCTATGTGCCAGACCCTGGTCTGAGCGCTGGATACTGAGCTTTAAGCCACATGGTCCTTACACACTTGCCATGAAGTAGAAATTAAAACGGGTACTTGACAAAATGAAAAGGATATGGTGCGAAGGTGACCTCTCGGGCCCAGTTCTGTTCTCAGTGCCTGGTATCACCTGGACTGGTGAACAGACCCACTGCGGTATGCCCACCAGTGCTCGTGGGTGGTGGTGGGACAGCCTGACATGCGTCCCCTTGGGGGGGCTGACGGCAGGTGGCACCGGCAGGGGGAGGCAGACAAGGGCGGTGGTGGCTGCCCAGCCCTGGCTCCTGGCTCTGCTCTGCCAAGAGCTGCCCCTGGCTTTTGTCCACGCTCTCAGTGGACAATGGAGGCAGAGGGCCTCACAGGCCCGAGCTGGGAGGCGGAGCGGTTCCTGGTGTCGTGAGGCCTCTGGACGTGGCGGAGGAGGGAACCCCGTCCTAAAGGCCAGCTTCAGGGTGTAGTGCGCCAGCAGCCACGCTCCCACGGCTCTCACAGGCCTGTGGGTCAGTGCTCCCCGCCTTGCCAGTACGCCGGGCCACCAGAGTTGTCACCAATCCAGTCCCCCTCCTTCACTGACCCCTCCCTGCTCACACTTGCCTTCTCCTGGGCCACCCCCTCCCCGCCACCAACCACCTCTTCCGGTGTGGTTCAGCCAGGGGTGCAGGTCAGCAGGAGCAGAGAAGGTGACCAGTGACAGGAGAAGCAATGGTGGACTGCAGGGCAGTGATGTCTGCTGGAGGGCAGGGCAGCTGGGACTGGCGGGCGAGGAGGGGGCTGAGCGCCAGCCCTGGGTGGGGCTCAGGCAGCACCGCAGGGTCCCCGAGGTTGGGTGTGAGGCCAGGCCAGCACTGCTGTGCATGGAAGTCACCCCGGAGCCCTTGTTCATGTCCCCCCATCTTACAGATTCGTGTCCTGTTGCTGCTCTAACAAGTCACCACAAACCTAGTGGCTTCACACAACACAGATTTATCTCACATCCTGGAGGGTGAACACTAGGTCTCAGCGATAAGTCTCACGGGGGTAACATCAGGGGTCGGCAGGGCTGTGTTCCTCTGGGGAGTCCACTTCCTGGCTTGTCCATCTTCCAGGGCACTGCAGGCCTTGGCGTAGGGCCCCTTCCTCCACCCTCAAAGCCAGGGCCACCAGGCCAGCTGCCACCTCTCTGGTCCCCTCCTTGGGTTCCCTCTTCCAGTTTCGAGGAATCTTGTGATGATACTGGACCCAAATCATCTCCCCATGTCAAGCTGAGCTGACTGGCGACCTGGGTTCCATCTGCAACTCTAGTCCCCTTTGCTAGGTGACACAGTCATAGGGTCCCGAGATTAAGATGTGGACAGTTGGGGGGCGGTGGCACTGTTCTGCTTACCTAGCAAGTTCCACTCCATCTCACAACAAAACACACCTCATCCCAAGGTCCCAAAGTCTCAACCCATGGCAGCAGGAAGGCCCGGCCCAGATGTCCCGTGAGCGTCCGAGTCAGGTGGCGGTGGGCCTTTCAGCGCCAGCCGTCCCAGCGCAAACCCCTCTGACCACGTGGACCTCTGAAGGTAAACGCTGCCTGCTCCCAACATACAACGGCAGAAGAGGCACGGGATGGACAGGGAGAGAACGGAAGAGGCAGGCGCTGCCTACGTACCAACCCAGCCGGGCAAACTCCACAGGTGCCCAAGGCCTGGACCTGATTCCCTGCGGCTCAGGCTCTGCCCTCTGGGGTCACAGCCCTGCCCTCGGGTCCTCCTCCCCTCTTATTTTATTTATTTATTTTTATTGGGGAATTGGGGGGATGGGAACAGCACTGGGGAATTGGGGGAAGGGGAACAGACAAGTTGCTGTCCTTTTGTTCTTCAGTCTAGTTGTGGAGGATGTTGCTTCACTGGCCCAAGTTGGCACCATCATTGCGCTCTTCCCAGGAGAGGCAGATCAGTCGCCAGCTTCTGGACGGCCTCTCACCGCGGCTGCTGACCGTTCACGCTGGCTGCTGGCTACACACGGTAGCCCATGGCAACCCACTGCCACAGGGGCTGCAGCCTACACCGTCGCCGGCGACTCACGGCAGCCCAGCTCCAGGCTAAGCTGTTGTTCAGCATCTTAGCTGTAGAGGGCAGTGTCACTGGCCCTCACATGTGGGATCCGAACCGGGGTCCTCTGGTGTCCCAAGCCAGTTCTTAACCATTGTGCCACTCAGCTGGCCCCCTCCTTCCCTTTTAGAGACAAGGTAGCAGGTGTGTGCAGCTGAGGTTTCACCAGTCTGCTTCCCGCTCACAGAACTTTGGGGGGTGGGGGATGGTCCAAGCCTTTCGGTTCCTCCGCCCCGCGCCCCTTCCAGTCTGACATTCTCCAGAACCCGGGGCGGGGGTGGGAGGGGTCCTCCTGTGGGTGGATGGAGACCTGCTCCCTAAGGCCAGAGGTTCCTGATCTTCCACGGCAATCTTGTTCTCGGTGTTGGTGGACGCCTGAGGTGTCTGTCAGTCCCCTGCGAAGAGCGTGTGCGTGACGGTCCCTGAGCCTGCTCATCTCCAGGCATTAGCTAGGCTGTGCAGACACCCAGCTGCTGCAGGGCGCACGCTGACCGTGGCCGTCTCACCCCAGCGTCCTGCGCCGTGGGATGGCCGAGATGCCCACACCAAGTGCCCGTTAGGTCCCTTCTTCAGCTGCGCTACCTCCGGACACCTTTCCTTTGGGGCCACTGGAAGCAGCAAGAAAGCAGGCTGCACCTTCACCCCTTTCCCGCAGACCTCGGTCAGACGCCCAGGCCGCTGCGGCCCACGGCTGCAGGACACAACCCCACCGGCTTCCTGCTTCCCGGCTGCGAGGGGGCCTCCCGTGACGGCCTGTCCTTCCGGGCCTCCCCAGCAGTCCCTGCGTCACCCACGCTGGTGCTAACAGACTCGGTGGTGACTGGCCCAATGGAGACGGGCCGGTTTCCTGGCCGTTCCCCCCTTTACTGCTGAGCCTGCAGCATCCGCACGTCTACCAGTTACGTCTAAGGAAACAGCACTTTTCCTCCCACGCCCTTCTTCCAAACGCCCCCGCCTGGGCCACTGCAAATCCCAAAGCTGCGTCTGCACACACAGCAGCACCCACTCCCGGAGACAAAGCCTGCATTCGCCTCCTGTAACAAGGGCCACAAGTGTGGTGGCTTACAACAAAACGATGCGACGCAGGTGTCACCTTACTGTGGCGGTCTCACAGGGCTAAAGTCAAGTCAGCAGGGCCGGTTCCTTTTGGGGATCTGGGAGAGACGCTGTGTCCTCCCTTTGCCAGCTTCCAGGGGTGCCCACAGTCCTCCACTCACAGCCCCTCCTTCCGTCGACACTGGGCCAAGTCCTCAGGCCCCCGCCTCCCTGGTCCTCCCTATTCCGCCTCCCTGTCCCACGTACAAGGACC